TGTTCAGAAGATAGTACGTTGACAACAAACCAAGTACAAAACAACAAGGCAATAGTATTTGGTTAAATTAAATTTGGGGAACAAAACCAAAACTACATACAAAGATATGTATGCAAATAGGATATTGATTTCAAGGATGTGTTGAAAAGAAAACATCAAATTATGTTTATTATTCCTTCCAGGGTATAAAGAATGTTTATGCAAATAACTTAGAGGAGCGGTATCTTTTTTTGTGCAGTACATCTTTTCATCGCTTCATCATCGAACAAGTTGCATTACTTTCCTAGGTTCACACTATCCTATGAAAATAATAAAACTTGTTCGATGATGAAGCGATGTACACGTAAGATCTTTGTGAGTGAATTTAATGTACAATAATAATAATATGATATTTTAACGTCTGATAGGTCTTATTTTCTCATATTTTTTCTAATATATTAGGTAACATAAGTGTAAAGATGCGTACAGAGGTGTTATTTCATATCTAGAGAGGTCTTATAATCTCTATAATCGTATTTAGAAGGTCATAAACAGGTTTTCTATACTCGAACTATGAAAATATTCGATTTATAATTAAAGAATCCTACTTCGCGGAAATTCACTTATCACAGTAGAGTCTGGAAATGATTAGCCGCGGTAAACGAGGGGCAACTGTATAATAATTGTTTTTTTGTTTTTTTTTTGTTTTTTTTTTTTAAGTACAAAACAACTAATTTGGGGGCCAATTTAAAAAATTACCGGTGGCGTCCTCAAACTTTTTGAACTGTAGTGTATAAAACACACACACACACACACACACACACACACACACGCATATATATATATATATATATATATATATATATATATATATATATATATATATATATATAAAATTAAAAGGTCCAAAAAACGAAAAAATATGAATCAACACATACCCTCAAACGAACCTATGTCAAGGAAAATAACTGAAATTTATATGATAACAACCAAGATGTGTTTCCTACACACACCAGTGCCGCAGGACTAAAAGAACGGTACCCCGTGTGGATTCACAGGCTTCACATTGTCAGCAATCATTAAAAGACCCTGAATACATCACTGGATTATGTTTATTGTTTGGCCAAACTAACAATCACTTAAATATATATGACATTATGGTACTTGAAATGGGAAAGGTCCTTCAACTGTGAGTAGTTTCGTAACATTTAAACTACTTTTATTTCAATACAATCTATACAGCATATCCAAAGGTTCCGCCTCCATATAAATGTACCCCGGCTCACACCGGGCCCTCACCACCTCTAGTTACGATACAAATCATGTGAATTCCAGCGCTCACTTTTGTATTCTCGCTATCGTTTGAACGATTTCGGTTATTCCTTGGATTTCCATTCCTTTCCAGTTTTTTATCCATAGATTTCGTGTCTGATCCAAACGTGCCATATATCCGTTAATTTTGTGTCATACATGTTATCTGTTTGGGCGATCATGACTCTTCCTATTTATGACTGACTTGGCAGAAGATTTTCCAGCAGTAGACTGCCGTTTCTTTCTGCTGTAGACTGGTTACCAAACAAGGATACAGGGCCCAGTCTGTCCTGCTATTCAATCATACCAAGGGTATTTCCATGTAAGTGTATGTAACGAAGCCGACTAGAATTCGAAATCGGCCCTCAGATTTCACATTAAAAGTCAATTTCATATTTTGCCAATTCTCTTTAAAGATTTAACTATTTTTACAAGATTGTTTTCTTTCAATTCTACTCTGTGGACTTCTACGACAGGGACACGTATTATTTGGAAAATATATTTTCTCCTTCTTATTGACAATGTTTAATACTGGCCTTCTCATCTGGTGTGATTGGATTTTAAACTTCCTGCTCATTACTATAATTATTCAGAGTAGTATCATCTCACCAGAATGTAATTTTAAGTACTTAATTATCAAGTCCTTTTCCGGTGCTATGAGTAAAAAGGACACTGGATAGAGTTATTTATGCACGTGTTGGACGTTTCGTTTAGATGGAGAATGTTTTTAGAGATGATGTGGGCAGTTCCGTACAAATAAACCTTATGTAGCTCTGAGATGCTGATGTCTCTAGGGATTTTTATTCACATGATTTTCGGTACCTTTCCTCATCATAACCAATGCTCCTATCAGAATAGGGATAACCGTAGTTTTAAGTTTCCGTATTTATGTTACTTCGATTTGAAGGTCCTTGACAGTTTTGGAATTTATTTTTAGAAACATTAGAATCCTGTGGGCAAGTCATATCAATTAGTTGGCAGGTTCCTTTTGTGGAATATTTTATAACTATTTCTGGTGTATTGGGAAATGCCACAGTATAATTACTATTATTTACTTAATCAAGACTATTATTATTATTATTATTATTATTATTATTATTTGTGGCATCATCTTTCCAGGGAGTAATTTTAAGGGCAAAATTACTAAGTCTCCTTCGGTGTCTATGAGTAAAAAGGCCTCTGTAGAAGATTTATCTATACACATTTGGGACGTCTCGTTTACATGGGAAGGGTCTTGCAGAAAATATGCGCAGTTCCGTACAAATAAACCTTATGTAGCTCTGAGATTCTGATGTGTCCAGGAATTGCAGTACTCACATGATTTTCGGTACTTTCTTTATCATAGCTAATTTCCCGATCACAACAGTGATAATCACACAAAACACACACAGAAACACACAAACATTTTACAATGATAAAGCTCTTTGTAATGTGTGAGCTCTACCCGTGAGTATAATTTTTTGTATTTCTTTAAGGCATGGGCTACCAGGAATCTCTTCAATGAGACTATCGGAACCTTTTCCAATCAATCCGAGTGCTCCAACTAGAATTAGAATTACTGAGGTCCTCATGTGTCACATTTTTTTAGACTTCCATTTCAAGAGCTTTGTATTTTGATAATTTTTTGAAGATCTTCAAAAATACATTACAATGTTCAGGGACCTTCGGTATTTGTACTCTTTGATCACAATGTCTGGGCCATTAGCTTTGGTTGTTCTGTCTGTGTCTATTATTATTATTATCATTATTATTATTTATAGTAGTATTAGTAGTAGTAGTAGTAGTAGTCGTAGTAGTAGTGGTTATACCTTGCGTTATTACTTGTTTATTACAGATGAAAGAGAATCTTCCCAAAACTTTACTACTGTCTGAATATTATCTTCCGAACGATTACTAAACATTTGATTACATTTATCTATTTCGTTGTTATAATAACAATATATTTTCTACCATTATTTTCTTTCTTCTTATTTTCTTTTTATCCTATCACTTAATTTCTGAACTAGTGTTCACTGGACAAATGTTTTCGTATCAATATTTTTAATTATAGAATCAAACCGTTAGAAAACTATCAGTAGAGAACATTGAATTTATTTGGTGTCAATGACTGCCAAGAAAACTGTCATGACACCACACCTTGCGATAATAACGAAGTAAAATTAAAATAAGTAAATAACTTGATTTAGTCATTAAACAATTGCAATCAAAACTCTAATTTCATCTCAGACGAGTATAATGAGTAAGATAATTGAATCAGTTCTCTGGTGAGAAATAAATTTGAATTGATCACAAGTGTCACTTAACTGTTCAAAGTTTCCAAAGACATTTTTCAGCAATTCAAATTTACCTAAACAAGGGCAAACATAAAGTCACTGCTTTTTAAAACATTTGATTCAGGGGCACATTAAATCTAATCTTACTCTTCATATCTCCCCTGAAATTAAATACAGACCTATCAGCCAGGCATAAAATTCCCATCGAAATCTATGTGAATTATTCAACAAAATGTATGATTTTGATTGATATGAGTAATGATTGAACAGTGGTGTATGGACACACTCCTAGAAAAATCGTGAATGGTAAAGAATTATCAGGTTTTGAAAGAAAGAAAAACTGAAGTTTCTTCAGCATATAAGGAATAAAGAAGTTTCGAAGAATTTGACACTTCCAGGGCATTACGGTGGCAAGATGGACAGAGGGAGGCAGCGGGCCAGCTACCTGATATGGTTGTGGGAATGCATGGCGGAAAGAGTGTGGCTCGAAGCTTAGCAGAGGGACAAAACTTACTAAGTGCTACAGGGGATAGGAGGCAGTTGGGAAACACGACCTGAAAGGATACGGCATTTATAAAAAGCAGATTTTTGCACAGGCACACATACACCCAGAAACACAGACACACGAACACATACATATATATATATATATATATATATATATATATATATATATATATATATATATATATATATATATATATGAAATTGTTCATCACTTGGTTGAAAAGTAAAAGACTCTGTCGAATTTATTTGTGTATGACTAGCGCATTTGTTAAATTGTTATGTATGAGGTCTCCTTTGTGTTCATAGATATGTTTTTTTTTAAATTTCTGCATGTTTTTACCTATGTATTCTGTATGTTTTCACCTATGTATTCTGCATGTTTCCCCAATATATAATGGGGAAATTGTATGACAAAGTGGAAAAAAGTTTACTTGGGATACGTCCTTCAGGGCATCATCGAATTAAATTTGTTATGATGATAGGACAGAGGTGTGTTGGGAATTTTAGATTTTTTTTTATCTAGCCCAATTGTCTTTTTATTTCCATCACTTTTGTAAGTGGGTATTCGACATTGTGATATTAGAAGATCTTTTAGGAATGGTGAAATGTTGTGAGAACTAAGACACAAATTTTCTGTAGATGACCTTGCGATTAAGTCACTCTCTAGATATTTGCGTCGTAGTGAATTATTTTCTCCTTTGATCATGATAACATTTTTTATCTCAAAATTGTCGTCAGTCTCGTTACTGTGGGAAGCCAATGCATTTGTCCTATTACTTTTTAAAATGTTCCTTTGTGTTCATATAATCTTGAGGTTTCTCCTATGTATTTTTTGTGACAGGCGATCAAGTAAACTCTTCCATCAGGTTTTAGCTTATTGACTAAGTATTTTATTATTTGGGATGTAGTAGTAACACATTTTCGTGGAGCTTAGATAGATACAAATAGATATAGATAGATAGATAGATAGATAGATAGATAGATAGATAGATAGATAGATAGATAGATAGATAGATATAATCCAAATATATTTTTGCATATGCTGATAAGTTTGAAATCACACCAAATATATGTTACCATTTCTGTGTGTGAACTTCATCTGAAACATTAAAATTAAAAGCAAGCGTACACCTGTATATGTAAGGCGAATACCGACGACGTAGGTAATCGTATGTCTGACTTAATAATAAAAATGTTCTAGTATCATACTCCAATCTGAAATTCCTGGGCAAAACATAAATTGTATAAATAGGTTCCCACTCTCGTGTGTTTGTGATTTTGTCCGTTTATGTGTGCGCGCGAGTGTGTGTGTGTGTGTGTGTGTGTTTGAGTGAGATAGAGGAAGTTAGTAAGGCAGGGAGAGAAAGGTGAAAGTTCAGAATTTGAATACAAGCTGTCATCGTAATGATACAAATTACATCATTCACTCCTTGTATTTGAATCCGAATAATGTGGGATTTTTTTCTAAGAAAATGGATGCCTGATTTCTTCAAATTTACATGATATAAGTATAATGCATAAATACCCCTTATCACATTCGCCAATTGATAATCTTAATGTCCGCAATGTTTTATTTTCTGAAATTACTAGGATTCAGTCGTTAAACACAAACAATTCTAATTTCAAGGTAACATTTGCTTGGTAGTTTTTTTTTTCCTACGGATAAACAACAAATATTATTTGTGCATAGCCAACGGATATTATCTTCACAAGATAAATATTTCATCATCCGAGAAGCAACTATGGAAAGTAATATCAATCAGTGCCAACGCTGTACTCTTTTATGTTGAAAAGGAACACTGGAAGTTTTTTTTTTATTATTTCATTTGCGGGACGGTGAACATGCATCCATTTTTTCCGATTTTCAAAAATTATTCAATATTGGCTAAAAAGGAAATTTCTGAATGTGTTATGGAAAGCTATCAAACTTTTTTTCTTTGCTTTTTCAATTTCCAATATGGCTGAATGGGGTTTCAACGCAGTTAACAGCTTCTTACTAAACAAAGAAACCGCCTGAAAATTGCAAAACAAGGTGATTTACGATTACTTCAAAAAAGTATGGAACCAGCCAGTAAGCACCAAAGTTAATCATCGCACTGAAAACATTGACATAAGCTATCAAATAAAAGTTTGTTTTTAGGATTTTAATCAATGGCATTTCTAATAGAAATGAAAACAGTATTAACATTGTTTTTGCACTAATACTTGCTATGAAAGATGAATTCAGTATAATATTCGAAATTTAATCTAACAGGGGCGGGGCGTTGCCAAAATTTTTGTGCCCAAAGGGGTCGCTGGTTGAGAAAAGGTTGGGAAACGCTGCTCTATAAACACTAGATAAACAAATCAGCTCGGTACACCGCCCCATCAAGCCTGATTCTGAAATTCCATTGCAAGTATTTAATAGTTTATTTAAACATAGCACTTTTCCAAACTACTCATGAAAGATGATTTTGAAGTTGAACAACTAATGTTCCTTTCAGCCATATTTACTTTTAAAACGACTGCAATGTTATCTTATTCAATGTTAATGGCACTAAAGAGGTGTTGTCGCACAATAAAGCAAGTTTAAACTTTTTACGCTGATGCATTGATATTATAAGATATGCCATAATTTATATTGGGTTATATTGTAGAACATGTCTGTTCATAGTATGAGTCAGTAAATATTTATCATTTATTATCGTTGTCTTTATCAGTGTATATTAGTAAATATGTATTTTATTAGTTATATGTTCGTATATACTGAATAATGAGTTTATTGATAAGCATGAGAAAATTGGTTGCGTGAATTGGAAAAACTAAAAATATGTTTCGCCCTTAAATGGAAGATGGAGGAACAAGTCGAAAACAGTGCTACGCCAGCATGCATGCTCCATTGTGGTTGGTATTCAACACCTTAAAACATTCCATATTGATAATAATATTAGATTTAGTAACCTAATATGTTTTTTATAATCGAGTTCACCCCAAACAAGGCAGTAAAGCCACTAAGTCACAAGGGGTAACTGGATTTAGAATAATTAGAAAACAGAAACATTACTAAGGAGCGAGATCAAAAATGTAATTAGGAAAACAGTAGATAATGACTGAAATTGCATTTACATTTTTTTAAGATCAAAGATGGTGGAAAATCATTAAGCCGGAAGGGAGTTCTACAAGAAAGAAGTGCGAAAAAAGAAACTGTTAGCATAGAACTTACGGCTACATCTATCCAGCTCAACTGAAAATTGATGTGATCTCGACGCTAGTCTAGTACTTCACAAAGTCTAGGTACCATACCGAAGAGATCCTCTGAACAATTACCATGGAAGCATTTATAGAAAAGACACAAGAAGGTGACATTACAGCAGAAGGAAAATGACTGAAGCCGAGACGTCATATCAGGACCAATAATATTTACTTTGAAAGTATTTACAGAAAAGTGCAGGAGGCAGTAATAATTTTATTTATTTTTATTTGTAAAATCAAAAACAGTGTAAATATCATGTTATAGTTTTGTATATAATTAAAACGAAAATCAGCGGAAAAAACTGCCCTTTAAAAAAATATTTCTTCTCCTTTTTTACCCGTTTGGTGTGGACGTTCGTCCAACTCTTTTCCCGCCGTTTAAGGATTAAGAAATTTTAAGGACACCTGCTTACATTTCAAAGGTCAGCAGGTTGTACTCGAAGTTCATTATCAATGGTTTCAGTCCTCACCGAGAGACGAAGTTTTGGCGTGATTTCTTTTGGTTTCTTTTGTTTTACGGCATATGAACATCTCAGTGGCTTATTTAATGCCGACAAGGATAGATTCGTATGAATAGAGTATGTGTTCTTTGTAAAAAAATCAGTTTGTAAATAAGGTTTCATTGACGTATTTTTGTAAAGAGGATTTTTGTCGAGAGTCAAATGTATTGCTGGTATTTTTTTAAAATTTATTGCTGGTAATTTTTTAAAAATTTATCGCTGGTAATTTTTTTTAAATGTAATGCTGGTAATATTTTTTTCAAAAATGTAATATTTTAAAAATATATTGCTGGAATCTTTTATTATAAAAATTTATTTTTATGCTTTCATAGTCGCATTTTTGTGTCCATGTTACAAAATTCTACACTGAGTACATGAAGATTAATAGTCTTACAGTTAGGACTTCCAGTAACCGGATAATCGAGAAAATTCGCATATTCCAAGATAAAAACACTTCCAGAGGGACAAAAACCAATAACAATAGGATGGAAACTAAATAGAAAAAGCGATAAATAAAAGCATTAAACAGAAAATTCAATTTTAACAAATCGTTTCTCTTAATTTTTCCTTTATGTTTGTTGCAGCTTCAGAAAACTTCATCAGCGTTGAAACTTCGCTTCACTTCGTCCCTTAAACATGATACGTTTAAAAGTTTCGTTAATACCTTTGAACTTTACACAAAACAAAATGAAATAAACAGCTTCTCATGTATCGCTAAAATGGTTAAAATGTTCTTGGAAACATGGAGTCAGATTTTCAATAATTAAAACACTTTCGTTTATTTCTTTCATTATTGAAGATTGTAACATTTAATTATTTTGAAAAGAAAACTGAAGAAATATGGTTAATAACATTACACATAACAACTAAAAATCCACCATCAGCGTTAACCATTAAGTTACTATAAAATGAGGTGTAATGAGGTGTATAAGTCTGCCTCAAGTTTTAAGCTCAAACTGGGTTAGGCCATACATACTGTATAGGTCGACCCCCAAACTTACGAAAGGCTACAAATGGTTCCAAACGTAAGGAAGTTAGCGAAGGAAAGCAAGAAGAAAGGACTAAATATAAACTCAAGAAGATAGAATTCATAGTTGTCAGTAAAAAGATGAGCCCAAAATGCAAATTACAAATCAGGGATACTAAAACTAAACAATTACAAAAATTTAAATATCTGAGAAGTGTTCTTAAAGAGGACAGAAAGTGTGAGATTAAAATCCGAAGATGCATTGGGGTAGCCAAAAGATGCATTCCAAAAGCTAAGCAGAGTATTAAGAGACAGAAAAATTCGTTAGAAACAAAGGCTTGAAGTAAGAATGTAGTTCTACAAAAGTATGATGAGGATATCATGGATCGAACATGTGAGAAACGACGAAATTTTAGAGAAAATGGAAACAAGAAGGAAAGGGCAGTTGAAATTTCTGGAGTACGTAATGAGAAAAGAGTGCTTGGAAAACCTGATACTCTCAGGACAGATTGAGGGAAAAAAGAAATCACGAAAAAAGGACTGAAGATGAGATGGAAGATCAGGATTGATTACATAACGAACCCTTTCTTTGAATATCGTCCAGAATATCGTGATACATAGCGGGAGATCCGGACGAGATATAGAAACAGTATTCAGTGCACGGACGAATGATAGATTTTTATAAATGTTTAAGAGGAATTCTAGCGAGAAGAATTGTCTGGCATGACACAGCGAACCAAATTTCCTAGCGGTGGACCGAGCAACTGATTCAATATAATCACTACACTTTATGTCAGGAAAAAACGTGAGCCCCAAAAGACCTAGAGTTGTTCCCGTGGTGTTTACCATTCGTCATGCTGATGGCAGACAGAAAAGTTTCTCTGTGGTGATTAAATGATAGTAGTTTTATTTTAGGGGTGTTAAAATTTACGAGCCATTCTTTGTCCCACGTAAGTATTAACTGGTTGAAGGTCCTATTCGAGAGCAGATGTCTGATCTGTTGGAAATGCGACTAAAGTCATCCGTAAATAATTGTGCCATCTGCATAAAAATCTATTTAGGAACTGGCGAACTCGGGAAGGTCGTTGCTGAAGATCAGAAACAGCGTAGGCCCCTGGATAAAGCCCTGGTGATTTATTCATTAATATGAAACGGAGAGAAGCTTGTCCGTTCAAAACAACCTTCATTTCACGATTTGTTAGGAAGGATTGAATTAGGCCAAATATTCGTCCAGAGTTTGTGGAGAAAGCCAGCATGCCAAACCCTGTCGGACGCTTTTGAGATACTTAAGGCCACAACCTTATTATGGAAAACTTGATAGACAAATTCTGTGATGGCCGTTAGAACATTGGATGCTAATAAATTTAAAATCAGCGATCCATTAGTATGTTTGAGCTAATGCAGCCCTTGCAACTACTGAAAGAAACGCATAAAAACATAGGTTTTAAAAGTTTGGGTATGAGTTACTAATGGTCTACATTAGTACATCAGTATAAATGGTACAGTACAATCAGATGTTAATTATCTGAAATGACATACGTTTTATCTTGAGCATAAAATGAAAAGCTCTTTCAAATATTTTGCCTTTTATCAAATAAAGAAAAACTAGCGAAAAAGATGGCTTCTGAAGGAAGTTATTCGCTTTCGAAGTTTCAGACTTCAGTAAGGATGCCAAGAAGTTGTGTTCTGACCCACAAAGAGTTGACGGAATTAAACTGATCTCTTCTGCCTGTATTCGCTATCTGGAAACCAGACTGTGATAAAAAAAATAAACGCATCACATCTCCCCCTCTCTCTCTCTCTCTCTCTCTCTCTCTCTCTCTCTCTTCTCTCTCAACCATCCATCTCAATAAAATGAACGTTTTTTTAGTGGTAAAGTTGAATTAGTAAATTAAAGCTTCATACGCTTCTACTTAAACTTCTTACTATATTACACTTGTCATGGGTATGACGATAAAAAAACATCCGCGTCGTGAGTAAGACAATAAACTACATCCGACAGCGAGGCCTCTGCTCAGGAAATTTGAGGAGTGTAGAACCACCTCTTATTTGCTGGTGTTCCTAGGTTCAGCCTGACCGGGGGTGGTAGACTTGTTAGGGTCCCAGCTATGAGCAAATAGTTAACCCCTAAACTGAGTTCAAAACGCCGTGGAGATGTAAAAATAGGTATTAATACCAGAAATACATTTTTTAAGGAACACGTGTTACTTCAAATACATTTTCAGGAAAAGATTTTTTACCAGCAATACTTTTATAAAGAAAAATTTTTAACAGCAATACATTGTCGAGGGAAACATTATTACCAGCAATGCATTTGTAAAGAAAATGTTATTACCAGCAATACATTTTTGAAGAAGGAGTTATTACCAGCAATATAGTGTTGAAGAAAAATTATTATCGGAGATACAATTCTGAAGAAAAAATCATGACAAGCAATATATTTTTGGAAAAAATATTACCAGCAATACATTTCTTTGGAAAATATTACCAGCAATACATAAAAAAAATTTTAAAATTATTAACAGCAATAAAAATTTTGTCGGCATTAAATAACCCATTGAGATTGATATGCCGTAAAGCAAAACAAACGAAACTATATTATACAGACAAGTTTCAAAACATCACTGACATTCAAAAGGAAATGCTCTAATTGGTGTTATTTTTGTAACTCTTGAATAGAACTTTAAAAATCCCGTACTATCGAGTTGGAGACAGATTTATGCACGATCGAAAATCTTTGGGGCATCATTAAAAGAAGACGGGGACTTTCATTTTAGTGACAAAGAAATTTTACCTAAAAATAAACTTTAGAGAGCGATATCAACCAGTGCCGGCGATAGGGTCTCAATACCCACAACTCGAATATCTGATACGCGGGCCCTTACTCTACATTGTCCTGCTTACCCAGTAGATTTGGATCCCAGCAATCGGGAGTTTCGGGGATAGTTGGCGCCAGTACTAATATCAACTATACGCGAAAAGAAATTCTGAATAAATATCTGCGAATCCGTCTGCAAAAAACTCTGAATTTAAATTTCTATGGATATCAGGCTACTCAGAATCATCAGAACAAAATCGGAAATTATATCTACTGTGTTCTTCGACTACCAGATCGTTATAATTTGCTTTGCACGTAATTTCTTTGATCACACATATATCGACAGGATGAGGGCTTAGCAATGGGTTCGCCATTATCACCAGCAATGGCGAATATATACATGGAATACTTTGAGGAAATGGCATTAGAATCTATATCTCTAAGGCCAACTCTATAGTTACGATATGTAGATGACACCTTCATACTCTAGCTACACTAGGAATATATCCAGCTTCTACTGGACAATGTGAACTTAATAAGACCTTCGATAGAGTTCACGATGGAGAAAGAGAGTAACAACACACTCCCATTCCTGGATGTTCTAATATTCGAACAGAGTTTGGGTTCAAGACATCCGTATACCGCAAACCGACATTACCTCAATTTCAACTCCCACCATCCATTCAGCGTAGAGAAAGGGATCGTCCGCTGCTTACAACACCGAAAAAGTCATAAGTGGCGACCCAGAGATATTAGATAAAGAATTGGTCAATATAAGCAGTACCCTACAACGTAATATCTACCCTGTGTACACGGAAGCAGCCCCAAAAAGCTGTGATAGGCGGGTACAAGAGGATGACAACGACACTCAGTAAATAGTCTTCTTGCTATATGTGAAGGGGTTAACAGAGAAAATTCAAAGGATCTGCGATCCATATAACATTAGGACAACCTTCAAAAGCTGGACAACACTTCGCGGATATCTCTCCCGAGTAAGATCCCCCCATAGAGGAGAACATGACTAAAGACTGTGTGTACGCCATCCCGTGCAGCTGCGGAAATATAAAGGGGAGATAGGCTGCCCACTTACGGTAAGGCTTCAAGAAAACCAACACGAGGGGAAGTGGAAAAATCACGCCTGGCTGACGATATATGGAGAGAAAAGGGAGATCACCGCCCTCTGTGGGATCAGGTTGAAATCATAAACAAAAAACATCATTGGAAAATTCGTAAACTTAAGGAATCAGCACATATGCTAGGCCATAGAAATCTCCTGAGACGACCAAGCATAGAAATGAATACAATATGGGAACCAGTAATAAGGAGTGCCAGAGAAAAGCAATAATAACAACTATAATTGCAATATGAGCTCGTAAAAAACATGAAATAAATGATAACAGCAAAAATTGCAATATGATCACTGGTAAAAATGGAGGCTGAAGACATTAGGTTTATAAGGCCAATAAATTTATACGCAGATGTCCTCAAGGACACATGCCACAGTGGATAACGGCGTTAGTTAGATCCAGTGACAGGACCTAAGAGTGAGTTCAATACCTGGTTAAATCAGTGGAGAACTTGGGGAGGGGAATTAACAGGAGATAACTGATGACTGACATCCATTAAACATGGCACGTGGAACTAGAACTAGTTTACCCCACTGAGGGAAATAGAGGGTTCAGTTCGACATTCCAACCACCTGAAGAAGGCGGGAGCATACAAACTAAATAAATATGACATCAAAGATGAGGACGATAGTCCGAACAATATAAATAGTATATTAAACACTATTTATTTATAAGATTAATTCTAATACAATTAGAACTAATGCTATATTTAACATTTACCTATTTATAAAGGAATAAATATTAAAACAATTTATTATTCATAAATATTTACTAAATTATTCAAATATGTAAACCAACTATAAGTAAATCCTTATTATTTACTATTTTATAAAGTTTGAATCAATTGGCAATTAGCCAATGTTTTGTCAACCATTCCAATAAACAATACAATAGATGAAATACAAAGAATCTGCGGTCCATATAATATCAGGAGAAACTTCAAAAGTTGGACAATCCTTTGCAGATATCTCTCCCGAGAAAGATCCCCTCGTAGAGGAGAACATGACTAAAGACAGTGTGTACGCCATCCCGTGCAGCTGCTGAAATATAAAGGGAAGACAGGCTGTCCCCTTAAGGTAAGGCTTCAATACCTGGTTAAGGCAGTGGAGAACTTGGAGAGGGGAATTAGCAGAAGATTACTGATAACTGACATCCATTAGACATGGCACGTAGAACTAGAACAGTCTACCCCAGCGAGGGAAATAAAGAGTTCAGTACAATAGTGTTTATTATTTTTCTCATTTCCCTCGACCGAATATAATTTCTCGGCGTAAACAGTTCGGTTCACTCTCCTCCTTGAACAGGAATAGGGTTTATCCTTTGTTTCCTGTTTAGGATTGGGTTTCCGGTTCTTTCTAAAGTGTTCTTTTTCTTTTTCATTCCCAGTAGCCCGTTGTGTTTCAGTGGCATTATCGCCAGGGATTGTATACTTGGACTCAATAGTAACGGGCGAGCAAGAAGAAGTTCAGAATTTCCTGTAGGTTACCCACCTGATGAAGACCGGAGAGCACACGATTTGAAACGTTGTGATAAGCACAACAAAGTTGAGGACAATAATCAAAATATAAATAGTATAAATATTTATAATAATCGATTTTATAGACGTTTAATAGGATATAATATGATGTTTGTTTTTAATCTTGTTAAACGGCAATAGTTTATTGAACGATTGACTTTGTCCTTAAGCATTTCTTCGAGAAGTACTTTTCGAAAAATTTATTCCAAAATCAGTGCTTCCTCTCAAAAAAGACAACCCCCATTATGTGAAAATCCAATGATAAATATTGCTAATTTGGATATAAAATAGGAAGTAAACATACAACGAGAAGTTCTCCCGAGCTGCCACCGACTGACCAGTGACTATCCCATGTTGCATTTCAATTCTCTATCTTGCGCACCGACAGCTAGGAAAGGGTCTATTGCTGCCCACAAGGTGACACGATGAAAGACAATCGCCACCTCGTGGAATAAGAACATGAACCCTGTGTTCCATATTATGAAACAGATGTTTTATGCAGGTCTTCTCCTGCTCGTCCGGGTGGGTAGGCAGTTAACACTTGGAAAACTACTGCTATGTTAGTCTAACAGCTCAGCTCTCCCCACCCACTACCAGATCCTCGCCTATATACTCATCCTCATGTGATTCCTGGCAATATGAATAGACGGTACCGGAACTACACGGCAGACACATCGGTCTGCAGCAAAAGGCGGACCAAAACTCTCTCCAAATTCCAAACAGGACTGTTAATACAGACCAACACACGGATATACTCTATTTCCGTTCTTTTTGCCACTTGATCCGTAAAAACTCCTAATCTGCTCCTTTACTTTCCATACGACTTCGATGAAAGTGGATGCCGCCTAGAAGACCAAAATTCAAAGAGAATTATCTGATGATCCATCAAACAGAAACACTTGAGATAAAGGTAAAACAACTTCTGTTATTTCGACATGGGTCTCCATTGTATCACAAGGAATTCTGATATATTTCAAGCCAAGAAAAAACGAAATCATATTACTGAAATTTTTAATGCGAGTCTTATTAATTTATATATTTATATACGATTGATGAAAAGATATAGCTAGCCATAATTTTAATGAAATCCAGACTATCGCAAATGAAATATTATTCTGGTATGTTATTTCCTTGTATAATAATCAATCGCTGATTCCATTTTCCGTGCTGATATCCGTTACGCTAACCAGACATGCGCACATCAGCTCCAGTCACTTTTCCACCACCATAAAGTTTCCTCCCTGTGCCTGTTCTATCAATAATTTTGAAAAAAAAAGGTCTAGGTGCCATAGCAAAGAACTCATCCGAACGTAATTGTTTGGATGAGTTCTTTCCCATGGTACCTAGACATTTTTTAAGAATTTAAGCGCAGTACTAGGCTGGCGACTAGGTCTCATCAACTTACAGTTAAGCTGGCTAGATGTAACCGTTCTAGATGTAACTGGCTAGATGTAACCGTTCTATGTTAACATTTTTTTCTCGTATTTCGCTTGTGGAACTCCCTCCGACTCCATGCTTTCAAAGTCAACTTTAATCTTTCAAAATGTAAATGCAATGTCAATCAATATCTACTATCCTCTTGATTACTCTTCTTTTGTTCTCGCACCTTGGCAATTTTTCCTTCTCTAATTCTTCATCACACTGTAACCCATTGTGTCTTAGTGGCTTTAGTACCCTGCTTGGGGTGAACTCGATTAAAAATATCTGAATGACCAAGTTTGAAATGCCTCTTAGTGGCAACACCCTAATAAAGTAAAGATAGCTCGTCTTTCTCAACAAAATAATATTTACTATTTGTACAAATTCGAAATCTGAATCTGTAAAATTTCTTTGTTTCTGCTTTCATGGGCGGCGTTTTTTTTTTTTTTGTTTTTGTTTTTTTTTTGTTTTTTTCTATTCGTGTATTTTCAAATAAGAATAATGGCTTTTATTTCATTTTTAAAGGTTTAGAATTTCTTCCATATAAAAGATTAACAACGTCATTCAGGAAAGTTTATCTTACAAAGTAAATAATCTTGGTTTTATTCCGATTCCTTTTAAGGAAAATGAAAACGAAGAAGTTTGAAGGATTGGAGTTGAAATAGAAAAGAATAGCAGACTGCAGAGTGAAATGACTGAAAGATGAAGACGGCGTGAAGAGGAAGAAGGATATATCAGAAAATTAGGGAGAAGAAAGAAAGAAAGAAAGAAAGAAAGAAAGAAAGAAAGAAAGAAAGAAAGAAAATAAGAAAGAAAGAAAATAAGAAAAAAGAAAGAAAGAAAGAAAATAAGAAAGAAAGAAAGAAAGAAAGAAAGAAAGAAAGAAAATAAAAGTAAATACAAGAAGAGAAAAGAAATATTAAAGAAAGAAATTAAAGATATATGAAAGAAAAAAAAACGAAAGAAAGACAGAAAAAAAAAAAAGAAAGACAGAAAAAAAAGATACAAAAAAATGGAAGGAAGGAAGAAAGAAACAAAGAAACAAAGAAAGAAAGAAAGAAAGAAAGAAAAGGAAGTAAGGAAGGAAAGAAGAAAGGACAAGAAACACGCAAAGAAACACGAAAGAAAGATAGGAAAGAAGGAAGAAAGAAAGAAAAACAAAAAAGAAAGAAAGGAAAGAAGAAAAGAAATCATGCAAGCAAGAAATGAAAGAACCAAAGAAAAGAAAAGAAAGAATAGAAAAAAAAGAAGAGAAAAGAAGAAAAAAAAGAAAAGGGTGTGTAATTAACAATCAACCATGTGATATGATGAAAATTCAAAATCACTGAAACAATTTTACGCTCTAAAGCAAAACAGATTATTCTAATTACAATGAAAAAAAAAATGAATGCTACTCGAAGGAAATGAAATGGCTAAGTGATTCTTAAGTTGCCAAACGTCGCCATATTACTCTACTTGAGGGAAACAAGCGAAAAATCATTGCGACATTCTCTGAAATTGCTCGTTTGCCATTCGTTTCTTGTAGAAGCATTTCTTGCTGCCAAATACTCGCTCCAACTTTCTCATTGGAATTCTTTCATCGAAAGCAACATTTTAAGGAAACGAAAATTCTTGAAAAAAACTAAAAAATTTACTCGATAATTCGTTTTTTCACATAACTAATTAATAAAAGGTATTCTTATGTTTCCATATTGCTACAGCCATTGTTACCACGATGTATTTATTTATTTTTGTGAAAAAAAAATCCTTAGTAACCTATTATTTAGATAGAATTTTGCTTTTAAATAGCCTAACGCCTAAAAAATAAAACGAAAACATTGTAGATACCCTCTTACAATGCAGTCTTTCTGCTGGTCAAATTTCAGGTTTATTATTTTTTTTCTGTCCTCCTCCCCCTCTTTATCATCATCATCATCATCATCATCATCATCATCATCATCATCATCATCACTATAATCATCATCTATGTGCCGTGACCCTTCAGGACATGGACGATGATGACGCTCTACAATTGTCTCCGTCGTGTAGATTTTTCCCTACTGTACCCAACAAACTCCTTAGCTAAGGGGTCACTTTACCTCCTTAATTTTCCTTCCTGTGAGTATTGAGTTCTTCATGCCACTCTTTTTCATTATGTACCTCAGTCTAACTTTATTAAATTGTTGATATCAATTGTCTAAACATGTAAGAACAAAACAAAAAATACATCCCCACTGTTTTGCATTTTTAACATTGAATAATAGTTTCTGGTAAAACAAGTTATATAAAATCAAATAATAAAAAGACATAAACATAAAACACAAGACGTCAAAAGATGGCAAACCATCTCTTTTACAATCTGTAAGCATGAACTGTACTGTATTGGATACATAAAGGAAAATAAACACACGTCTTGACTGATTGATTATAATAATAGTCAACAGATATTTTATACTTTCTGTGTGATTTTTTTTTCTTTTGATGAGGCGTTGGCATTATTTACACTATTTACATTCGGACTTCATATCCAGGCAGTGTGTACTTGGTAGGCAATAACTGAGAGGTACTAAAAAAAAAAAATAGACGAGATGTCCCTAGACATGATCAGTGGAACGAGAACAGTCTACCCACGTAGATTACCATATTTTCCGGCTTACATGACACTGCGGCATGGAAGACGCACCCTAATATTGGAAAGAAATTTCTAAGAAAAAAAAGCTATTTTCATACAACAACACATTCACCATGCTTTATTACATATTGTTTACATTAATCACGCGTCCGATTTTGTTTGTATGGCAGTGACATACTAGTCAAGAGCAGAAAGGCTCCCATCTCTGCTAGCAAACGGATCATGTTTAAGCTTATGGCTTGGCCCCAGGAACGTTTATAGTCTTGGAAATACTTGTAACAGCTAATTACTGAGGTTACATCATATAAAAGGCTGAGATAGATAGCTAACATTATAGAGCAATGACGCAACATACAAATTCACGTCCCTTTCAGCCAAGCCAATTAGGTGATCGTCCAAGCTTCCTTGATTCTGGGCGTTGCACTACATTCGTCTTTGAAGACGCACACGTATTTTTCATGGTATTTTTTAGGAAAAAGCTGCATGTTGTAAGCAGTTAATACGGTAAATAAGAAGTTCAGTTCAAAATTCCGTGTAGATCACCCAGATTGCTATACACCTGATGAAGGGCGGAGAGCACAACTGCCGAAACGTTGTGATAACAACAACAAAGATGAGGACAATAGTCCGAGAATTAACGGTGTAAATAATGATACCTTTACATTCCAGAAATTTAGACAGATTTCATATTATATATACATTGCCCGGCAGAGGGATTGAACCCACAATTACTATACCACCCAAATTCACTAACCAAAGTTTTAATCCTACGGGATAATAACCTCGTGAATTAAAGCAGTGGAACAAGATCAAGTGCATTAAATAAAGGCTTCTGTTCTGAATTCCGTGTAAGTCACCCAGATTAATATACACCTGAGGAAGGCCGGAGGACATAACGGCCGAAACGTTGTGATAACAACAACAAATATGGGAGATAATAGTCTCAATGTAAATAGTATAAATAAAGACATTTTGTATCTATAAATGAGCTATTATAAATAAAACTGAAAAATAAAAGTTAATTCGTAGACTTTATATGAAACAGAAGTTACATAGTGGTCCGAAAATCTTGTGACCCCACCAACCACTCTCCCAAACTGTAGGAGCTCGTGTCAGCCATCTGAAATAGAAAATTATATTATGTAGGGATGACAAGACATTAGGACCACCCTGTACATACGAAATTTGACTTTCACTGACAAATTTTTTTTCAAATCTTTTTGAAGAGTAACAGTTAATCTAAAGCTGTTATTATTTATTCGGGTCAGATGATTCAATTTTTTTTTTTTTTTTATACTAGGCATTTATCCTCTTAGGTATCAAAGATTTTACAAGTAGATAAAAAAAAACAACCCAGTGGAAAATTGGACACATGCCTGGGCTCTAAACAAAAATTGAATAACTTTATTTTAAAAAGCCTGAATAGTTTAACGAGATAATCTTTGTCAAACGTGCCACAACGTCTAGCCACAGAATAAATTCAATTGTTAGTGTACATCTTGCCAGAATATCAAGCTGTCTTGAGTTGGGTGGGAATGAGTGTTTCAAGTACAGATGAGGATCAAAACATTCAAGCTTCAATCAACTATTTAAACCGACGTGTCTTTTACACTGAAACATTGTTGGCTACGGTTAAAATAATTTTGGCTACCGCAGGATATTCTTGAGAAGAAAGACAATTCATAATTTCAATAGCGTTGGGCTTTCAAATCTATCCATTTCACTATTGCTAGTTTGATCTGTATAGAAACTAAAAGGAAACATATACTTAGCACGAGGAAGAGATGGTTAACATTTCTAGGCGGCACAATGAGGAAAGAGAGCTTGGAAAATTTGATACTCACAGGACAAATTATAGGCAAGAGGAACAGAGGAAAACAAAGCATAAAATACTTTAGGGTTTTGAGTAAATGGATGTGGGAACAGGCTTTAAGAGAAATAACAAAAAGACAACATTTATTAAGCGCTACAAAGAACAGGAAATTGTAGAGAGCCATGATCGCGTACGTCCTGTGGGGATACGGTACATAAAATATTGTATCTTTTAAAGAGGATAGACAAAAGACAGACAAACAGATAACAGACAAAAGTGGTACTCGAGTGAAGGAACAGCAACACACGCGTAGATGAAAGAAGAGAGGTTGATTGTACAAGAGAACACACTAATGAAGACAGGGAATCGAATGGCAAGCTAATTCCCGAAGTAAAGTTATTTAATTTACCTTCCCGCGAGGCAGGATGTGGCACAAGGCTGTTTTTTAATGTTGGGTAAAATCAAGCCCGTAGGCTCGAGGAAAAAATTCCCGAAGACCTCGTATACACGGGGTCAGGTAGCTGTCTACCACCCCAGACGAGACTCTGCCCTTCGGTATAGCCTCGTCTGGATTTCTCTCTGCCCGAAGGTAGAATGTTCGACCAGCACTGCTGGAGGCGAATCTGCAACAAATTGCCTAAGGAAGTCCCCAGGTATATTTATCCTGTGCTCATTATATATAGCTACTGATATAGGAAGTTCACATAGGCGATAGGCAGTGTGGGACATTCGATCTGGCAATTCTGATAGAAAGAGAGGCGTTGAATGTCCTCAAGAAAGCAGGATACTCTGAAGAAGCAAATTATATTTTCCATATATATATGAACAGGAAAAGCAACCTTTTGATTCAAAGTACCTCGCAGTTGAACAAGGCTCTGTTTACTATTTTGAAAGAAAATCACATCCTCTTCAGTCGGAATATTTTCTCGGAAGCTTCATATCTGCTGTTTCGAATCCGAAACATAAACAAAATAATTATTGAAGAATTACTAGATTCATTATTAATCCAGCATTTTTATTACTTCAAAAGTTATATAATAAATACTTCGTATTTTAAATAGACACCTGCATTTATTTTTAAAAATACAATAAAATAATTAAATCCAACGCCACAAAGCCAAAGGTAGGCCCCAGAATTATCACCTGCACAATTTTGAGGGGTCTATTTTCCAGCTTTCCAAAAACTGAATTCCACCTTCTCGACGCCAAAGCTGGCCTCTTATTCGTTTCAGAAACTGGTATCGATCCTTCTATCCCAGTGTAAGAACTCACAATCCCAGGCCACTTGCCCCTAATAGTACATGACAATCGAAATCGCGACAGCGACAGCAACTACGTTATGGACGGGTCCCCATATGACAGAGACCCTAGAAACAAGGACCCTGATCTCCCGTATATGTGCTTGCATGTATCGCTTGCCCACAGTACCACTTTCATCTTCTCGTTCTATCGACCTCGAGATAACAGAACTGTAATGTTCGACCATACAGCTGAGACGATTGATCATGTTATCTTTGAGTATACTTCAGCTAGTTTTCAAATTTGAGGTGACTTCAATATTCACCACAGAGAGTGATCAGTCCTCTTGAGCAAAACCGATCCCAGCAAAAACCGACAACTGTAAACTCGGACACAAGAGAGACCTTATCTTCGCTTCGAGGACGTCTGCAAAAGGGACATGAGGGCGATGGACATGGACATCGAGAGGTGGGAAAACGTTCCGACGATCACTCACACTGGAGACGCAACTTACATCGAGGCCCGAAGCGA